ATAATACTCTCTCTCTCTCTCTCTCTCTCTCTCTCTCTCTCTCTTTTCTCTAGTGTAATTAAAGCAATCAAATGCAAACTTACATATAGTCAGTAATTGTTTTATTGGCAAACTTCTTTATTTATAACCATTATTTTGCAGGTACAATGTTCATTGGTATATAGCACCTATACAAACGCAAAAGTTAATTCTTTTCATATTGCAGAAAGAAAGCAAAATTTTTGTCTTAAAACTCGGCAAATTATTTAGTGCATCGTTAGAATCTTTTGCCATGGTAATGATCACTATACATAATCATACATTTTGATAACTATAATTCAGTATTTTCGTACATATAACATATAACATAAAAGATATTTTATTACAGTTAATAAAGTTATCGATATCATATTTCACTTTTATGTATTCTATGCAGCAGTGAAAATATTTTATTTTACTTATATTGTAAAAATCAGATACCCCAGGTAATTTCTTATATAATTTCTATATATATTTCTATATATTAAAAAATTATTATAATTTAAACAAAAAACTTGCATAAATTAAATAATATATTAATACTACCAATCTCATTTTTGCTATTGAAATTAGAATTTGCATTTAATTGAATAAAATATAGTCAATAGATGTTTGCTAAAACAGGATCAAAAACATGTTACAAAAAAAAATGATAAGTTAAAATCCATAATTAAATTAAAAGCGTAAATCTTTGACATATTCTATATTTGTAAAACTTTATTGTCTAGGTATTTTCTACGTTTCCGATCATTATTTTATAGATTTTATTTATGTAAAACCAAAGACAACTCGGCCGATGTTCTTATAAAAGATAAAAAGGTATTTTACGATTGTACGCACAAAACATGAAATAAACGTCGCTAGAAAGAAACAAGTCGAACTTGCATAGACTTCGATAAAGAAGTCATATATATTAAGTACATATATTGTGAGAAATAAATATTTGTTGTATTCTATTCGGCATTCTATTATTTCTTCTCTAGTAAAATTTTCATTGTTCACCAAAGGTTATTACTTTAAATAATCGTACTCAATTCACCTTTGAAAAAATATCGCACAATTCAACTTCAACATTTCATATCGTATATAATTCACCCAGATATTCACAATCAAATTAGCAAGAAAAAAGAATATTAAGTATAATAAAATACTTAATTTAGTTAGTTTTATTCACTTGGAAAATAAGCTGAAACATTTTTTATATACATGTTAATATTTTATACATATACGCCTTGTAATTTTTTTAATAAGAAATAATATGAAGATGAGAAATGAGAATCAGCGCTGTAAATAGTGCGCAATTGTATGTTTAATTTTAACTACGTTTATTAAGATTAAAAATATAACTGCACTGTTTACAGCATTAATTTTTATTAGCTATATTATTGTCCATTTATATCATATAAAAAAATCTGTTTTCTCTTAATATTTTAATAAGAAGTTTATTACATAAGTTTGCTCAGAAAACTTCGAAACTTTAGTCATTGTGATTTCTTTTATATTACATATTTATTTTTTCTGTAAACTCAAATATACTAATAAACACATATTATATTAATCGTGATAATATACTAATGTATTTTAATATAAAAGCCAAATAAATATCGTTTATCGTTGCATATTTAAATCATATAAGTATCGTATGTACAAATAGTATAATAATACACTTCTTATAAAAGTAGATAATGGAAAATAGAAATGACTGTAATTCTGTAATAAAAATTGAATAAGACAAATTTATATGAACTTAGTTATTATTTTTAATGTCCCCCCCCATTTGCTGCTAAAATGAGTCCCACACATTAAAAAATACCTCATATATCTCGGACAGAGAAAACCAAAAAAATCTTATTACAGTTGCTGAGTATCGCAATATTGTTTCATCATTCTTCATTTCATGTGGAATTATTATAAAAACCGAATAAATTATAAAATGATAATTAAATATACATTATACGCCATCATCTAAAAGAAATGCTATTTAGCTAACCGATAATCTCGTCAAAACTAATAAAGTGTAAAAAAATGTTAATTTTTAAAAGATAACAGAAAATTAAAAAAAACATTATTTTCAATAAGTCTTATCGATAATAAATTAATAGCTACATCAACAATCTGGGTGATAACTTAGATTCCAAATGGACGAACGCAACTTACGAACATGCACCACAAAACGAAAGAGACACAATGAAATGAATGAGATATATCATTGTACTGGAAATTGATCAATACGCTTGCGCAAGCTTCTATCAAGAAACATATGTACAATATTCTTTTTTACAAAAAAATGAACATCCGTTCAATTTCCCACATTGTATCGATCGCTTAATCGTCCTCAGACATTAAGTTACGCGTATTCTTACATCGAACTTTTTCATCAATTTGCATTACGCTCAAATTACACCAAGTAATTTACGATATGCGTTTTATAAAAATTGTAAGTTGTAAAATATTCAATCAATGGGGAGAAATATATAGACTTTCGTTGACCTTTTTATAGTCAAACGCAAATTCTATGATCACAGAGTAATGATCTGCATCAAAACTAGATATTTTAATATCCATCGGATCCTTTTACTTGCTATTGGCTTATGGCCTTATTATAAATCAAATGTTGCTCAATTTCAAATAATATTGTGTCTTGCTGTTCTAATAAGTTTTATTATTTCTCAGGTATGTATATCATATCATAGAAAGTAACCATATTATATATTTTTAGTTGCGTTATCAAGAAATATGTTAGTGATTTGATGCTCCAAATGCGCGCACTAGACTCTTACATGAGCTCTGTATCTAATATATGCGAGTTGTTCAAAACATTTGCAAATATCTGAGATTAGTATCGAATCTTAGAAAGGGCTAGATTGATGAAATTCTGAATGCAAGGCATAATATTTGGTTTTGAATCATAAAAATAATTCTTCTTTTCCTCTATGTGTCTTATGAAATATTGCGATATAAAGTACAAAAGTGTGTAAATTTTCATTTAAAAAACATCATTATCTAATGAAAGTTCTTTAGTCCTTTTTGATGTGCTTATAATAGATAATTCAAATTCAACTAATACAAACTGTGAGAATATCTTCAGTATCTCTATAGCGTATATAAATACATGTATAAGTGTACATTTAAATTCATATAAAAGAAGAAAGGTTATAACGTCAAATTTTTATATTCAAATTTTTCTCGAAA